ATAAATGACAGTAGTAATGTAGTACTTTCAAATTTTCTGAAAATACATTTAAAAAACCCCTCTGCTTCACTTTTCTTACTGTCACATCTTAGTTGTCATGACTTTTCTTAAAAAGGTAAAATTTTAAAGTAGTTACACTCTTTAAGTTCCAATTTGCTTTCCTTACTTTGGTAATTGGTGTTTTTCTATAAAGGTAACTCAGTGTAAAATAGGAAGTATTTAGTTCTACTGAGAATTTATCATCATAACCATTCCTGTGGGATCTCTCTGCTGCAGCATCTACAAGATGATCTGAGCTACATTAGGCCTCTTTCCTTAGTTAAAGAACTAAACTCTTTTCTCAGTTTTCTTCACTGAGGTCGTAATGTACAAGAATCCCATTGCCATTTGGTTTGGATGAAGAAGCTTGCATCTAGTCATAGAAATAGCTGGAATTCTGTGGGAACCTCAGACCATCTGAATTTTTCTCAAATCTTCATAGAGGTTTTCATCAGTTAATATGTTGTAAGTCAGAAATTCCTGAGACTATGTTCAGTAAATTTTCCATTGGATACAACCCTAGTGCATAGGAAAAGTAAATGAAGCAAAGCTAGAAAGGATTACTTGTTGGGGTTTTTTTTCACTTCTCACTGAATGCTAAAGGATTTTTAATAACTCTTGGCTCTGTCAGAGATGCTATTTTTTTAAAGATTTAGAATGACAGGTCATTTGCATTGAGGAAAGTATTTCAAGTCTGATATTCTCAAAAATACTTTTTTTTTTTTTTTAATTTTTATTTTCATACCATTACTTCAACCAAAGCCCCTTTAGGTTTCTCTCATGCTTTGCTCCATTCAGTATCACTTCTGAATTTAATCAATGTGCAGTAACCAATCAATGTTAAATGTTTTTAAACTTAATTAAAATGTAGAATAAAGGTAATGTAGCACTAGTTGTAACACACACTTCATTTTCTTTTACAGCCTGGTACAGTTTTGGTTTTCACTACCTTGTGCTTCTTTTTTTTTTCCCAAAGCATTTTTTTTTGACATGTTCAATTCACTGTTATTAAAATATTATTGCAAGTAAAACTTCAAGAGGCAAACTGGATTCTGAAAAAGTTATGTTTATTGTTTCACTGAATATGGTTATACGCTCCTTAGTATCCCAAAGCTCTTCCTCAAGTATTTTGTTTTTAGTATTGATTCATTTTACACATAGTGACTGATAATTTTAGAACAGCCTTTCGTAAACACCTTTGTATATGAGGATGTTACCAGTGGGAGAAAGAGTTCCACATAGCCTGGAAGAATTTACTTAGTATTTTTGTCATGTAGAGAACATGTGACTTAGTGAAAACATCAATAGACATTTTGTCTTCAGGTTTAAAATATGCCTTAGAGAAACAAGATTGCCTTTTTGTCTCTTTCCAAGAAGTTTTTCCAGTCACTTTGTTTCTAATATACTTGTAAACTGTATTGAAAATTCTGCATTGTAGTGACACGTCCTCTGGAATTTGATTTGTGGAAAATATATTTGTTAGAAATCATTATTGATTTCAAATTGTAGACCATTGTCTAAACCCATAGTGTTTCATCATAGACAGGCAAGCACAGCCATAACAGCAGCAGCAGGTGTCTACGTTATTGGTTTAGTATGCAGTGTATTGCACTTCTAGACCAAATGCCCTGATTGTCCCAGTTTCCTGGGCTTTGTTTCAGTTCACAGAGTATTTGGTATTGACCGCATAATGCTCCTTCTCTCATTTACTTATGTGGATAGGCTTGATTGTTTTTAGAGACTGCAAGCAGGATATAATTGCTTTGTGCTCTTAAACTATAAAATGTATTGGCTAACACCCATGAGGTAACTGGGAATATTGCAGTATTCATCACTCCTGTGAAATGAGCAATGAGTCTTTGCTGACCTGTCAGTCAACAAGCAGCTCGATGAGAAAGGTTCGACCTCCCTTGCTCCCTGGAAGGGAATTATCTTCAGTGCTGTTAAGTTACAATCCTCTAGTCATCCGGTTTTCTTCCTTGAGGTTTTATACCTTTTCATATTGCTGGTTTTCCTTTTTAAGCCTTGAGTTGTTAACTAGCTCTATCTCAAGAATTTTACCTGTGTCTGGAATTTAACCTGTCCCTTTTTTCATAAGTAAATATTAGTCTATGTGTTTTATTATAACTTTTGTTAGAACCAACTAGTTTTCTTGGAAGACATAGATAACATTGCACAACTGTGCTGTTGTGTCATTACAAATAGATGAATATCCAGGACGATGGCGATGCCTACCTACCTGCTTGCAAATCTTTACCATGCACTCTTCCATCAGGATCTTGGCTTTCACACAAACATTATCTGGCTCAGTATGCTTTGCTTTCTTACCTTACGTTTTTCTCTTTTGATCTCTTACAGAAATTCTTTCCAAACTCACCTCTCACATCCCCGCATCTCTTTCTTTTCTGTTTTTTTCTGTATTGCTGTTTCCAAATGATCTTCCCAATAGCAACAGCAGTTTTGACCACCCAGCAGCGCCAACAACATGAGGGCCTCAGGAAAACAGCACTGCCTGTTGCCCACGTGTGCCATTCTCATCACATCTGTGGCTGCAGATCAGCTGACTGGTACTTGTTGAAGCATAAACAAACACATCAGCCTTTGTGAGGAACATTGGAGCATGAATCCTACTGCAACCTCCATAAAGACAATCTAATATCAGAGGATTGGCTTATTAGAGTTGTCCTCTTGAAGGAAGTTGAGAAGCCGCTGTAACTGTGTTACAGTTGTTCACTTGATGTCCAGTTCTGCATGACGTCTTACAGCTGTTACTGGCAACAGGAGCGCATCACTGTGTATCACTGGTGTGCCTTAGGATGGGTTGCTTAGGAGCCCACAAAACAGAAAGTTTTGTGTAATAGATTTCCTTAGGCACCTTCTCTGCACTCGAGAGCATTTAGGCTGAAAGACTAGTCTAACTGATCTCAGTTAAAATCTCTGAAACCCTTACAGTGTGGCTGTAAGGACCCTCAGCACTAAATATTTTGATTTATAATCTCTCTGAGTTCTGCCTCATCACATATACCTGTTCTGTTCTGGTTTCAGCTGGGATAGAATTTTGTTCTTAGTTCCTGGTAGAGTGCTATGTTTTGTATTCAGTATGGGAATGATGTTGATAACACATTGGGCAAAGGAATATTCCATACCACAGAACATCATACTCAGTATATAAACTGGAGGGAATTGTCTGGGAGCTGCTAATCACTGCTCAGGAATGGGATGGGCATTGGTGACGAGGCATTGTGTTGTACCTCACTTTTTTCTCTTGGATTTTATCACACACTATCTCCTTTCCACTACTATTATCATATTATACTTTACTTCAATTCTTAAACTGTTCTTACCTCACAAAATTTACTTTTTTTTCCCAGTTCTCCTCCCCATCCCACTAGGGGCTGGCAGGTGGCTATGGGGTTTTGAAGGAGTGTTGAGCAGGTGGCTGCATGGTATATAGTTGCCCGTGGGTTTAAACCACAACAACTTGCTAATACAAACATAATTTCTGCACTCACTTCTGAGTCAGTCACACACGCTGGGCAAGGCATGAACCCTTTGAATTTATCCTTTTCTGCTTTTCTGCAACTGGAATTTCAAACACAGCTCCTTCCTTCTAACACCAATTCAAGTATGCTTCCAGTGTTCTAGAACATCCCTAACATAAGCACTGAATTAGAAATTGTTCATGTGTATTTCTCTATTGGTATATATATTACTAATATCTCGAATACAAGTTTACTATTGAGATACCCAATCTAATGCTCAGAACCTCTGGCAAACTATTTATCCAATATAGGCTACATTGGATTGCTTTGTAATGGTTTTGAACAGCTTTAATTCAGTTCAATTTCTCTACATAGATGTCTCTTTTCTATACCAGCTATTACAAATTGTATGCCTATTTTTAATACAAAGTAGGATGAGAGGTGGGGTAAAGACCTTCAGTGCAATTTGTAGCATGATATTTGAAACAAATAGTGAAATATTTCCTAGGTGTTGACTAATGAACTGTTATCTTTTATCTGCAAAAAGAGCAATGAAAAATCTATTAGAAAGAAAAATTATATTACAAAAAGCATTATTTTGTACCAAAGGTAAATTTATAGTGGCAACAGCTGTATTGAAGAAATTGTGAGAATAATCTATGCAGTATTCCTTTCTTTTTTACCTCTAATTCCATCTCTTGTAATACTGCCTTTGTTAGCATTTGTTGCATTCTTCTAAGTCTCAAGCTGTGACTTGAAAGATCTTGTATAAGACTAAAAGGTCTTACTTAATACTATCAGTCTTTGCAGGGTCAGAGCCTTAAGTTCAGTTATGTAGTACATTTCATGAGATAAACATCCTCAAATTCCACAAAAAAAGTAAAGAGTTTAAAAGTTAGAGAATACACCTCAAAAATGTCATTGTTTGTATTTGTGCAGAATTATTTGCAGTTTCATTACATTATTCCCTGTATGGCAGGAAACATGGAAATTGCACATTGGAATAACATTATTCTTGAGAACAAAGCTATTTTAAACTTCATGTTAAAGAGTTCTATCAAATTCTAGGCACAACCTCTTTAATTACAGCAGTCCCTGTAAATTTGTTCAGGGGGAAAGGAATTGCTAAGTAGTTTCAGAAATTCCTGCTTCCCTTTTGTGGAAGAATAATGAAGAGCGTGAATCACATTTTCCACATAATTTAATGAAATCCTTCATTAGTGAGAAGTGACATTTGCATTCTACACTAAACAAGTTCTTTGTGCATGGAAAGTAGCTATCTTAATTTGTTTAAAATTGCTAGGAATCTATTACCTTTGTAGGATGAATACTGATTGCTGTGCCGTTGGTATTTTCACAACCAAATCAGTTTCAAATGAAGATTACTAACAGCATGTTAAACCAGTTGCTGGAAGAGAATATAGCATTTTTTTTCAGTATTACTATCAATTAAAATCTACTCCTTCTGTAATCCCACAGCTGAACAAACAGGAATGTTATTTATAGGAGATGCAATAATACAGGTCAGTAAACATTCACTTTTTTCCACAGATATTTGTTTCATACTTGCTTTTATTTCAGTAACTAATTTACACATTGTGAATCATTTTCTCCCTATCATATCTGTTTTTAGGTTAATGGTATAAATGTAGAAAGTGCAACCCATGAAGAAGTGGTAAGTCATTCCACTTTGATTTTGTTATTGGTGTACAGAATATCTTATGTCCAAAGTGTTCTGTCTCTAGCCTTGTTTCAGATTAATTTACTCTTTTTTACTATAAGGTGTCCTATAGTCAGATTTGTCATGTATGCCATTATTAAAAATTTTCCAGTTATTTCATTCATTTTTGAAATGTAGTTTCCTAAAACATTTGGCCTAAACCAAACCAAAATAATTTATTGAATAGTGGTTAGTTTTTACTGATTTGTTTCATTTATCAGATTGACTGTATGAGGATAAACCCTGTTCATGTTCACTCCATGTGTAGTGCTTTTCCGGTCTGCAGTGCAAGGCAGTATAGATAAAAATTGTTATCCCCTGTTGCCTGTTTATTGGCAGTTATCATTTGATTCACGGACAACTGTATCTCAGAATAGCATCTGTAGCAACCATAAATGACATGGGCTTTGACAGTCTTATCAGCAAGGCAGAAATTACATGGCCAAAGGAACTAAACTTGCTTTTATTACTTGGAGGTGATCTCTCTAGGTCAAGATAAAGTGCAGCTGCATGATCTTGCAGTCCTTTTCTTGGTGTTGATTAATACCATCAGGCTGAATCTCTTACAGACAGTCTCAGTAAAGCACTGAGTCAGGTCTATTGTGTATTGGTGAACTGCCGTCCTGCTGCTTGTATTGTTATTGCACATAAAAAACCCTCTAAACTTGCTGAAAGTTATTCCTCACAAAATGGTAAGTTACATGCATTAAGGATTGTTTTTCAGAACCGAGAAGTGCTCCAGAACTGTAGATGTAACACAGCAGAGGTGAGAAATCAGGGAGAAATACGTAGTGCTGCTCCTTGTCCTATACACGGGCATTCAATGGAAGCACCAGGCAGAATTTCCTAGAACAACTGTAGGCCCTATGGCTGAAGGAAATTCAAATCTCGATGGGCCAGGAGATGGAGCTGCAAAGAGACTTTTCTACTACCACAGCCTGTTACCATAATCAGAGTGGTTTGGGGTAAATGGGTCAGGTCATAGGGGAAAGGGCTGGTTCTATGAGATTTGAGATAAGGTGTGCTGTTGCCAAAGAGAGAATCCATCCTGAGAGAATGGAAGATTTTTTATTTCTTACTTCTATAAAAATTATGTCTTTGCATTTTCATGAAATAATAGTGAAGAAAACATTCTCTTTATTTGAATGTAGTGGGTTTTCAGTTTGAAAGAAATGCTTCAGAAAAGGTTTGGGCACTTAGAAACAATTCACAAAGAAGGTATACGAATTGATATTCACCTGGCTGGGACTTCAATTTTCAAGGTGTTCACAAAAACTGTGAAAGGAAATGAAACATGAGACAACAGTTTGCTGATTCAACAGAATTTTTCAGATTCATAGAATCACAGAATCATAAAATGGTTTGAGTTGGAAGGGACCTTGAAGTACATCTAGTTCCACCCCTGTGCCATGGGCAGGGAACCTGCACCAGACTGGGTTGCTCAAAACCCAATCCAAACTGGACCTTGAGCACTTTCAGCAATGGAACATCCACAGTTTCTCTGGGCAACCTGTGCCAGTACCTCATCACCTTCACAGTAAAGAATTTCTTCCTAATATCTAATCTAAATCTTCCTTCCTTCACTTTAAAACTCTTCTCCCTTGTCCTATCACTACATTCCTTTGTAAAAAGTCCCTCTCCAGATCTCTTGTAGTCCCCTTTAGGGTCTGGAAGGTGCTCTAAGGTCTCCTCAGAACTTTCCCTTCTCCAGTGTGAAGACCCGGCTTTCTCAGCTGATTATCATAGAATAGGTGCTCCAGTTCTCTGAGCATCTTCATGGCCCACCTGATGATCAGAGGACTGAAAACACTTCCTGGCAATTTGTGGTGTGGAGCTGGGTGATTCTCTCTGTACTTGGTTGAAGAGAGCAATAACATTCATAAAGGTTTTTGTGAGTCCTCGGGATGAGCACTGCCCTATGATGAAATGCACTAGAAGTACCTGTTTGTTTCCACCATAAGCAAAATGTAGGTGATGTGATGAAAAACCATCACTGGAGCCTTTCAAGATGCAGTTAGACAGAGTGTTAGATAATCTCATGTAGTCTCACTTTCTCACAAAAGGTGGGGCTATATGACCTTTGGAGGTCCTTCAAAACCTGGGCTGTTTTTTATGATTCTATGATTAGTTCAAATGTAAGTTTGTATGAAATTAATCCCATTTCAAGACAATAAACTGATTATTTCCATTTACTAGAAAAGGCAGGAGTGAGAGTTTAGGTATAGAAAATGGAAAACTAGGTACCACATGGTATTTTTTCTTACTATGTCTTATTCATGTATTTTGTAGTAAATTATTGTGTTTCATACATTTTTAGTATTTCACACAAATGTTAATTTACTTGGAATTTTATTCACTGACTCAGGAAAGTACTTAGGAATATTTATTTCTTCTTATCAATGAGTAGTCTCACAGAAATCCATCACTAAATAAACAATATCCATTAAAACAAAATCCATTCAATGGGAATAATTTTATATTTTCAGAATTTGAACTGCTTTTAGTCAATACTCACTACATTTTTTTTCAGATCTCTCATAACTTCAGATGTCTATTGTAAAGCTATTTAATGTGTCATTGGCATGTCTGGCAGAAAGTGATAAACTTGTGCTTCATTGGGCTGATTCATTGAGATACAAGGAATGAACCTGAAAATTATGTTGAGATTTTATTTTCATTTGTCCTTTAATCCATCATCTATTTTGCATTAACTATTTCAGAATTAGATCTCTGCATAGCCTTTTGGAATTCAGTTTTGAGTGGTGGAACATACATTATGAATTTTATCCATATAATATCAGAAAGAAAGCGATCAAATAGAAAAAAAAAAAAAGAAGGAAGTTACATAGGCTAAAAAAAAAGTACATAACACTTAACTGCTCAACAAGTACATCAAAGATAGTAATATAATAAAAAACTTAGAACTGTAGTAATGAATTAATAAAATAACATCATAACAATAATTATAAAATGTTTTGTCAAATTTATTGATGCTTCTGAAGTAACAAAAATAAATTATTTTTATTTACTAAAATTTTATCATGTAGTAATATCTTATAGTCACATTAATGAGAGCAGTTTATTGATTTATGCTGTTGTTAAAACCATTAACATTTAAACAAATCAAGATATATGCTTACAGTGTGAAACTGCAGTGTTACGTTCTGTTTGTTTAACCACATGTTAATATTTGAATACATAATTTAGTAATACTTGAGGCAAAACCTTATGACATCTGGAGAAATTAAAAATAGAATTTTCATTTAATATATGTAGAAGGTTTAATATTTTAAGGTTACTGCCAGAAATAATCAGCAATACAGAGCAGTTCAAGGCAATGCTCGTTGTTTTCCTAGATCACCCAGATAGTTGCTACATTAACATGTGCAAATACCATTACAGGCATACACACATTTCTGACACAAGACTGATGCTTAACTTCAAGTTATTCCTTGAATTTCTGCAGCTTTTCTTGTGGGAAGCTTCTCAGTTTGAACCGGCTTTTTCATCTGACAGAAAAAATGTTATGAAGTCAAAATAAACAGTGTAATTCAAGTATGTCAAGCATAAAATGAGAGCTTGATCAGTTAAATACAGGAAAAATAAGTATTTTTCTACACAGATTGTGCATGTTTCATTTCTTGGAGATCCATCTTAATGGTGCTGAGATGAAATGTCACAGTACTTTGAGCAGTGCTCTGCATGGTTTACTTGAACAGTTAGTTCTTTGTACTGCAACTTTTTTGTTCTCTCAATATAAAATAAATATTCTCTTAGTACTGGAAGGTTGATTCTACCAGATTCAGAAGAACCAGTAACTGAGATTTTCTCACATCATGTGAAGGTTGTCTGATTCCTTTGCATGTCATGGAACTGTTTGATTTCTTTCAACTGCATGATCTTCCCGTTGTCCTGGTACTTCCCAGAGTTTGCTTTTAGGTTTCTCCGTTTCAGTAAACTATTTCTGTCATAGTCTAAAAGCGATGCTATGAGTGGTTTTCATTTAAATGAGGCTGACCTACTTTATTCCCTACCCCTTCCTTCCACACTTGCACACCTTAATGAAAGCAACCTGTTCCTCCCATTCACTTTTTCTAGACACACTGGAAGAAAAGGTGTAATGCTACTAAAAAGCATTTTAAAAATTAACAGTTGCCAAAAAGAAAAAAAAATAAAATTTTTCACACTTTCTGAAATAGTCTACATACATTACTGCAAAGTTTAGCTGCTGTTACATCTTACTGTATGAATATAACTTAAAAAGAAGTATGTGGTATTGCATAGAAACTTAGTAGCAGTATCTTAAATGACCTCAATATCACACTCTATTTCCAGGATTTGCCATGTGTTCAAGTACTGCAGATGCAGTAGAGTGGAAATAAGAAAGCAGTCTTTAAAAGTTTTATTGAACATGTAGAGACATGTGCATGAATTTTTGTTGAAGTTTATGTTTTGTCATGGGAAACCTAAGGAAATATGAAGTAGAATAATCCAACAAAGCAGTCATTGTGCTTCCAGAGGGATGACAAGCAAGTCTCAGGAGAATGTTAGAGAGCAAAGAAAAGGAAGAGTTAAAGGGGGATCCATCCTTATGGATATCCAATGAGTCTCCCTATATTTTTTCCAAAGTCTTCGTCTGTGAAAGGATTTTATTTTTTTTGAAGAGAGTAAAAAAAAAAAAAAAAGGTGCTCAAAAAGAACAAAGCCAAAACCTTTAGCATCTTGTACTTTTCTTACTCTAGCTAGTTTCCAACACTGGCCTACATTGTCAGTGGATATTCAAAAAGAAATGTAGAAGTTTTTACATATCAATTTTCCTATGACTAGTTCTGTGTATGAAACTTTCTCTAGTTTGTGATTACACATATTTTCTTCCCAACATGTTGCTGTTATCACTATTTCATTAAATGGACAATTTGGGGCATGAAATAAGAGGATTGTATTTTGAGTGGCAT